ACTATTGGCGTCACATTTAGCAGAATTTCAGTGGCGCCACGCCCACAAACATCAGATTGTCGGCCACTATTTCGAAACCCTACGTCCAAATTTTCACATCTAACCCTAACTCTACCCCTAACCCTAACCCTAACCCTAACCCTACCCCTAACCCTACCCCTAACCCTAACCCTACCCCTAACCCTAACCCTACCCCTAACTCTAACCCAACAACCGCATGATGACTACACAACCATTCACGATGCCTCACGCAACTGTACGCAATCCTGCACGCAACCATATGATGACCACGCATCCCTTCACGATGCCTCACGCAACCGTACGCAGCCCTACACGCAACCGTAGGATGATAGGTAAGTGTGTCGTTTGTTTCGTTGGCTTTTCCGATCACTGTTTGGAGTGCGGCCAAGGGAGAGAACTCTGACTAAGTCGTCCAAGGCTTTTTATTCTTCGTCCGGATTTGACAGGAGAGCCGATCTTTATTTCAACCTCAGGGCGCTGCGTGGTCTCGAGGCATGGAGTCCGCCTCGAGTGCTGGCGGTTCCGGGTTTAATCCCCGGTAAGGGCTGGGATTTTTTCATGTGGAATTGGATTTCTAGTAATTTCCCCCTGGTCTCTGAGTAGTGAGATCGGAGACCGTGTGCATTGTTGCGCATGTAAAAAAAATCCCTTGGCAGTTGGATATCGAAAAGAGTAGCGAAAAGGCGCTGCCCGGGCAAAATTCGGAGTTAAAAATCTACCCCACGTATTTCAGGATCCTCGCCGGTGTTACATAGTCTGTGCACTGTGTAGAGCTTCTTCGGACTCAGACTTAAGTTAGGAGAAGAACGGAGCACTTACGGTTTACTACCCGTATGCCATGATGTTGATCCGTTGTTCAGACTTCAAACTTCAAACTCCTATTTTTCAGTCTGCTTGGAGCGACCATGGAATCCGAAGGAAACTCATGCTAAACCCAATTTAGAAAACGCTGCCCTGGATTAAAAATAGGATTAATTATTATTCTTTTCTTTTTCGCGTTCACCGGCTGTAAAGTCCGGCGGACAGTTGTAGTTGTGTGGTTCATCCACTTCTGGAGTTTAGACTTGTTTCAGAACTTGAGTTTTGCGTGCATTCCCGTTGGAATGATCTGGCGTTTTTGTTTGCATACTGCCTGTCGTCAGGCAGATACACTCGACTTCGAATAAAACACCTTAATTTGTCGACTCTTACAATGTCCTAGATTGGGGGACCAGTGTGGACTATTCTAGTTTTTCCAACATAGGTACTCCCAAACTCCCATGGTGAGAATGAATTCAAAAAGAGTGAACAATAAAAGAAATGCCTAGGTAACAGCGTAGCAGCATTGAAAGGTGAAAAAAAAAAGATGGGGGGGGGAACAGGGGGTAAAGGGGGAAAGGGGGGGGGGGGTCGAACTACTATTTTACATGGGTGGCCTAAGACCATTGTAAAACACATATTCGCTGAGGTTATGAAGTATTAACGAAAATAATTTATGATTTGGGGTCACCAAAGAACTGTACCAAAGAGTCGCGGCATTAGAAAGGTTGAGAACCATAGCTGTAGCACATACTTTTGTTATCTCAAGGTTAGTTGCGTATCCTTTACAGGACGCTGCAGAACCAACCCCATCAACCCCTGGCTGTTGTGTGATTCACTAGGCAAATTTACCTCCAGCAGTTTGCCATTGCTCACTGGACGGTCGGCTACCTGATACCACTGTCGAAACCAACGCAAGGCGTATGGCCCGCAGCTGGGTTCGAACCCGGTACCCCGGAATTATTTGTTATCTTACGACACCAAAATTTCTTTCAGACACACAAGCACATGCAATTAGAGAAACACAAAAACTACAATGAACACAAACGCGTGTAATTACAGAAACACCCGTTTTGCCCCGTGCTGCCCCGAATGCATGAAAGCTCTCACATGAAATATTTGCACAAACTCAGGTTCTTTAATTTTAACCGACCACATCACGCCGACTACGAGATTTGGTAGCGAAATTCCTAGAACGCCCCACAGTAGTAGTCGCTATTCATTCGACACTAGCCCTAACTCGGGGAGTCGCCGTGGCGGAAGTGCTAGACGCTCGCCGCGGATCGGAAGGTCGTGGGTTCCTGGAGTAGTCGGACTTTAAAAAAAATAACCTTTGCTCGCAGGTCGACCCAGCCTTGAGTGGGTACCGGGTGCAGTCTCGGGAAGTGAAGGCGGCCGACGGGATGCTGAATACATCACCCATTTTGTGCCGATTGGTCTTTAAAAATATAGGTTATGCCCTATGCGCCTAAAGGCATGGAAAAGCGTCTTGTACTTTTACTTTTTACTAGCCCCTACCCACTGTACACTATAGGACGGTCTAAGGATTTCCCTATCAAATCTCCTGTTGTGATGAAGTAATAGAAAAAACCTAGTCAACAGGGAGTTAGGGTTAGTAGTATTAGCTATTCATTTAACACTAGCTCAAACAGTAAACACCCCCCCTTCCCCCACCCTTCCTCCCCCCCACCTCCCCCTCTGCACATTATTTCGTACAGTCCAAGGAGACACCTAGGAATACTTAGAGATTAGCTGTCAAATCTCGTAGCCGGTTGTTTATATCAATTTGTCATTTTTAGGATGAATTCTTTTATTTTTTTGAAGCCCTATCCTGGCTTTTGCCAGGGACCGCAATATAGGCAGGCCATAAATATGGACAATTGTCTGAACGCGGTAGCTGGGACCTCTCCACGGCGATCCTCATCCACATGGTGGCACTTTGTGTCATCGGGTGTTTATCGCTTGTGTGATGTCCTGGTTGGGTAGAGAGTCGGTAGCCGGCTTGACGTGGTCGTATAAAATTAAAGAACGCAAACTCACAAGAACCCACACTTACTGTCAGTGATAGAATTTGACCTGCCATCAGTGAGGATGATGACAATTTTGGTGGCATTGTCTCGACCTCCAGAGCTTGGTGAAAACATTTGCTGATAGTTGATAAAGTTGATGGCTTTAGCCGTGTCTGTACCAGATTGTAGATGTTGGGCTGATAGTAGAGCCTGCCGTTTTAACATGACATAATTTACATTATTAATATGGTGTTATGCATTGCATGAGAAATATTGAAATCTTAAAAGATCTAAACATCAAGGAATATTGGCTAATAAACAGCATCCTTTCTCGAAAGCTGAATTTTTTTGGTCATATCAAGCGCCACGACGGATTGGAAAAATTATAGCAGAAGGCATGGTACCAGGAAGGAGGGGCAGGGGCCGACCGACACGAAGATGGGCACAGGATATCTGTGACTCCTTGAGTGTGAAAGTTCATGAGGCGGGAGAACTGGCGAGAGACCGAGTTTCTTTCAGACAGACTGTGATGAGAGCGACGTACTGCAAGGGACCTGCTACATGATGATGATATGCATTGCACACTTAAATGTAACCCCACTGTTTAAGAAGTATTCACAATGATTCAGTTATAGACACAGATATGCAAACACATACATGCATAGACATGGATCGATGCAAGGGCGACATAAACGTGTATCATAATTCTCACGCTGAATAACGTGTGCTAACATGTCTCTCCACAATATGCGATCTCCTGTCGTCCCTACCAGGTCAGGAGCTGATACGCTTCCATGACCAAACAGAAGTGGTCGAGAATCCTTACGTGTTGTTTTCCCTGCGTCTCTTTCCAGAAATCGCTCCAGTTGTCACATGTTCTAGTTTCTATCTTCTCACAACATCAGCATCACCATCATGTGCCATGCCATCTGGCGTAGGCGCTCATGCGACTTCGCAGATCACGATCCAAGTTTGCCTGGAACAGCTCTCTAGATGATATCACTCCATGCCATCGTTTCAGCCCATCCAGCATCATCTCTCTTGGTTTGCCTCTACCCTTTTTTCATCTGATCTTTCCAGTTGTCACGATGTTCTCACATCATCGCCAAAACAATACATGTTTCCTTATGATGTGTGTGATAAGTTATCTTTTGAACCAAGTTTCTTTAAGATATTCGAGCTACTGTTTATAAGCTGGCCATGGAGTTTTAAGCAGATACACATGTACAAAAAAGAGACAGAATGAAGGAACATGAAAAGAATCAATACTTTAGGCAGACACACAGAGAGAGACAAAGAGACAAACATGTAGACAGAACGACTGGAAGATGGACAGAAAAATCAGATACAAAGATATTCTTCTATCTATCTATCTATCTATCTATCTATCTATCTATCTATCTATCTATCTATCTATCTATCTATCTATCTATCTATCTATCTATCTATCTATCTATCTATCTATCTATCTATCTATCTATCTATCTATCTATCTATCTATCTATCTATCTATCTATCTATCTATCTATCTATCTATCTATCTATCTATCTATCTATCTATCTATCTATCTGTCTGTCTGTCTGTCTGTCTGTCTGTCTGTCTGTCTGTCTGTCTGTCTGTCTGTCTGTCTGTCTGTCTGTCTGTCTGTCTGTCTGTCTGTCTGTCTGTCTGTCTGTCTGTCTGTCTGTCTGTCTGTCTGTCTGTCTGTCTGTCTGTCTGTCTGTCTGTCTGTCTGTCTGTCTGTCTGTCTGTCTGTCTGTCTGTCTGTCTGTCTATCTATCTATCTTATCTATCTATCTTATCTATCTATCTTATCTATCTATCTATCTATCTATCTATCTATCTATCTATCTATCTATCTATCTATCTATCTATCTATCTATCTATCTATCTATCTATCTATCTATCTATCTATCTATCTATCTATCTATCTATCTATCTATCTATCTATCTATCTATCTATCTATCTATCTATCTATCTATCTATCTATCTATCTATCTATCTATCTATCTATCTATCTATCTATCTATCTATCTATCTATCTATCTATCTATCTATCTATCTATCTATCTATCTATCTATCTATCTATCTATCTATCTATCTATCTATCTATCTATCTATCTATCTATCTATCTATCTATCTAGATAAAACATAGACTATTCACATACACTTCTGATTGTGTCTGGATCTTCAAAGTCTTTGAGATCGAACAGTTTGACTGTGTCCGTGCTGAAGATAAGGGCCCCGAAGCGGACGTCTTGTGGGCCCACAGTAAATGAGTTTGTGACGTCAGCTACGAAGGTGAGTTGTTTGATGTAGTCAGAAGGTGAGATACTGGTGGATGAATCCAGAGCAAAGATGACATCCGCAAACTGGATTCCGTGGCAGTCCTCGTAGGCTGCAAGGGAAGAAAGAATAGTCTGTAACAGTCTGAATGGATCGCATGAATGACTGGGCACTTTTCTTGCTATCTAGTAGTTCTTGTGTGAATGCGTGATAAAAGAAAAACAATTTTTAGTTTGTATCATTCTGACTAAAGAGCACTGGTGACTGAACGCTTTCTTTCCAACCGAATAATTCTCTAGTGAATGAGTGTTAAACCCATCTATGACTGGGCACTAAGCTATTAACAGTGTGAGTAATTATTAGGAGGATAGATATCCTGCATGTACGGTCAATGTACAAGTGACCGTAGCCCTGTTCAACAGTAAAATTAAATTGAGGTCCCCAAAGTAGCCTGAATTACAAATAGAGTGGGGTGGGGCAGATGGCAGAGCTATGGCAGCTCTTTAGGTCACTCGATAGGTCACTCGAAGTTTTATAGGGCTCCAAGGGCGGCTCAGTCTAAAATAAGTACCAGAAGATGTCCTGAAATATTAATTCAGCTGAGGTGATGTTGATGACATCACACAAAGACGGTCAATTGGTCTATGGGAACTATGAGTACGTATCACGAGAGTCACCCCATCTCGCGCGAGATTTCGTGCTGGCTCCAATTTATGTCGTGCCAATTTTCACGGGCTTTCCTATGTTCTAGGGGTGTCTATACACAGAACGTCTAAAAGTACTGGCTTTCGTTCGAAAAGGTCGACACCTGTCTCCCAGACGCAATTGCGCAGGTTTCTTTCCTCTACTGTATGTTGTGTGAAGAAGTATTTCTTCTCGAAAGTGATTGTGATGTGACACTGTGAAAGATTTTACACCTTGCTTGGAATTGTTCACACATTAAAACATTATTAACAATTTTCAAAAGTATTTATTTGCTTTTTGTAGTGTTCAGTGTTTTCTTTGTAAGTGCGTAGTGTATCCTTTCTGCAAAGGCGAGTTTTTTTTTTTTTTTTTGGCGTCAAAATAGTTCCCTAGACTGTACAGCACACGGGTCAACGGGTTTATATTTTTATAGGTGCGAGTCTTTTTCTTTAGAAGGACCAAAAGTATTCAGCACACCAAAAAGAGTTGTCTTTGATCTTGTCTAGCACAGTAGTACACGCTGATTGCTGTCACCTACCAGTTAGCCCACTGCTTAGAGACCCAAATTTCTCCAGTACAACAAAAGAACAAACGAATAATACAATCTTAATCCCTACGTTATGTTATCAGTGCCAAACTTCAAAATGAATAGAGCACTGGAAAAGAAAGTAACGGCAGGTGAAGTAGGCTGTCTCCTCAAGATCACTATCAACACTAGACGAGACAGGGTTATGAATACCAGTATTAGAGAGAAAGTTGGAATAAGACCATGTCTAGATTGTATTGACAGACAAAGAATGTAATGATTCGGCCATCTATTGAGAATGCAGCCAGGCCAGCCTGCATATGATACTTTTTACAACAGAACATCCAAGAGGAAGGCGGCAGAAAGACCAAGAAGGAGATGAACAAATGGTGTAGCTCAAACCTGCGAAAAGATGAACGAATCCATCGTTCAAACCACCCGATAAAGGCAAGATAAGTACAGAAAACCACGACACTGGGCTGCAATCTAGTCTCAGTAAGACGACAAAACCACGACAGTGGGCTACAATCTTGTACCAGTAAGACAACCAATCCGCAACACTGGGCTGCAACCTGGGATCAGTAAGACGACAAAAACACGACACTGGGCTACAATTTTGTATCAGTAAGACGACAAAACCAAGAATCTGGGCTACAACCTGGTATCTGTAGGACGACAAAACCACGACACTGGGCTTCAATTTTGGTATCAGTAAGACGACAAAACCACGACACTGGGCTGCAATCTGGTAAGATGACAAAACCACAACACTGGGCTGCAATCTGGTATCAGTATGTCGACTGAAAAAAAGAAGTACACGCCGACTGTGGGGTGTGTAGCAGAGAAAGGGTTAATTACTTACAACATGACATCTCAAGACTGCACTAAACATAAATATTTAAAAAGCTGATACCTGGATTCGCACACGTTGTGTTGCTGTATCTGGTTAGAGCTTTAAGAACACTATCAAATTCATAGGCGAGGTAAACATCGGCTGGAGACGATGCGATCGTTTCTAGTTCTGCCAAGTCGGGGCTGGAGAAACCAACAGCAATTACATAAACACCAGCTTTCTTCAAGGCAGTTGCTTCATCTCTGGTTGCTTGAGTGTCATTGGATCTTCCGCTAGAGAACAGAACAGCCACCTTGGGGATACCGTCTCGACCTCCATTACTTTGGTCCAAGAAAGTGACTGCTTGCTTCAATGCTAGATTGGTATTTGCCGCCCCACCCAAATAATTAGCGCCTAGTATTGCCTGTGGGGAAAAAAAAGACAACGGACATATTTAAATTGATTATTTAGTGGCGAAACCAGGTAACTTTTCTTCTTTTTCTTCTTCTTCTTCTTCTTCTTCTTCTTCTTCTTCTTCTTCTTCTTCTTCTTCTTCTTCTTCTTCTTCTTCTTCTTCTTCTTCTTCTTCTTCTTCTTCTTCTTCTTCTTCTTCTTCTTCTTCTTCTCCTTCCTATTCTATTTCTCCTTATCATTACTACTACGACGACGACTACTACTACTACTACGGCTACTACTACTACTGCTACTTATACTAGTACTAATTCTTCTTCTTGTTCTTCTTGTTCTTCTTGTTCTTCTTCTTGTTCTTGTTCCTCTTCTTCTTCTTCTTCTTCTTCTTCTTCTTCTTCTTCTTCTTCTTCTTCTTCTTCTTCTTCTTCTTCTTCTTCTTCTTCTTCTTCTTCTTCTTCTTCTTCTTCTTCTTCTTCTTCTTCTTCTTCTTCATCTTCTTCTTCTTCTTTTTCATCTGCTTCTTCTTCTTTTTCTTCTATTTCTTCTTCTTCTTCTTCTTCTTCTTTTTCTTCTTCTTCTTCTTCTTCTTCTTCTTCTTCTTCTTCTTCTTCTTCTTCTTCTTCTTCTTCTTCTTCTTCTTCTTCTTCTTCTTCTTCTTCTTCTTCTTCTTCTTCTTCTTCTTCTTCTTCTTCTTCTTCTTCATCTTCTTCTTCTTCTTTTTCATCTCCTTCTGCTTCTTTTTCTTCTATTTCTTCTTCTTCTTCTTCTTCTTCTTCTTCTTCTTCTTCTTCTTCTTCTTCTTCTTCTTCTTCTTCTTCTTCTTCTTCTTCTTCTTCTTCTTCTTCTTCTTCTTCTTCTTCTTCTTCTTCTTCTTCTTCTTCTTCTTCTTCTTCTTCTTCCTCCTCCTCCTCCTCTTCTTCTTCTTCTTCTTCTTCTTCTTCTTCTTCTTCTTCTTCTTCTTCTTCTTCTTCTTCTTCTTCTTCTTCTTCTTCTTCTTCTTTGTTTCTTCTTTTTCGTCTTTCTCGTCTCCTTCTTCACCTCCCCTTCAATGTTCCCCTCATCTTCTTTTTTCTTATCTTCATCCCTTTCCTCAGCCCCCCCCCCCCTTTACCTTCGTGCTCAGGATGTAATAAACGTGTAGCGTTTTATCTGAAACCAACAAACACACATGTGACTGTTTGGATACTAAATGTGTTTAAACCTTTCCAGGATATCAAGAGACACGATCATCACCAGCACCTACCATGACTTTGAGTGTATGTGGTCCATCAGCAAACACTGTCGCCGGAATATTGATCACGTCAGTGTTCTGTCCCTTCCAATTTTTTCAGTGAAGACATCCCTGTCTTTATCCCTTTTGTTTGTCTTTTGCTTTGGTTCATCAGGTCTGATCGTTGTCGCCAAGGGTTGGAAATTGTGTGTATGTGTAGTTGTTTATTTTTGTATTTTGTGAAAATATATTTTCTATAAAATGTTAAATAAACAAAACAAAACATCTTGACTGTTTGTAGTGAGTTTCTCTCATAAGTTAACATTGTTCATTTGTCTCTAGAAGGACTGCCTCGTGTGTCTGATTTTTGACAACCCCTTGCATTATTTGCATGATTCTTAAATAGCACATATCCATAGCCATAAAGCATTCTTTAACTCGTCTGCTATTGTCCATGCAAACAGTAACACCTGCTCAAATTAACAATGCAATACTGTTTCTTCTTGCAAGTGACACCTGTTTATCATTAAACACATTTCGAGTTTTATGGAAACAAAATGTGTTTAGCCAATTGGAGTCCTTGTCAAAGGACAGCTGTAAGAAAACGCGTGCTCAAGAAATACATCAGATAGGAAGAATCAACTTGTGGATTTTATGTTCCAGAACTCATAATGTTTTGAATCGTAACAACTTGAACGACATTCGTTTCTATTCGGGGTAATTTCACATTTCGGAACTATCGAAAATCAAAAACTGTTTTCAGTACTTCTTCGCAAAATAAAATACTCCAAATTTTAAAACTGTAAATGGTGGTCCAAACGACGTTGTGTGGAAAAGCGCGCTTCCCTACGAAATACGCCTGGCCAAATCAAAGGGAAACAACACAAAACTGGAAACACTAAGTAAGACGAGGGAAGACATGCACAAGTAACAACAGGGTGGAGGACGAGCAGTCTGATTCGGATGGAAGCATCAAGCCCACAAATGGCACAAACACTAGAATTCAGTCCACGAAAGTGACGCAAATAACCCAGACCACAAATATAGGCAGAGACTGCTAGGAGGCTCGGCTAGCTAGCAGCAGTCAGAACGTGGTCGAGCCTTTTTTTTTCCAAAAGGAGTTTTTTTTTTTTTAAATATAATCCAACCCATAGGTTGAACGAGGTTTCTGAGACATATCTACGAGTGATCATCATCGGAATTGTAGTACTTTGTGTCACCGGGTGTTTATCGCTCACTGTGGTGTCCTGGTGGGGTTAAAAATCTGTCAATAAATGTATACTAGTTTTTTTTGTTTGTTGATAAACTAGCTTGCCTGTAGTGAAAGAGAGCTGTATTAAAATAAATCGCCTCTTTCCATACGCTTTAAGTGTTTTGGTTCTATAGTGCTCGACATATTTTATAGACCAATCATCGTTTAAAAGGTAATATGTTCGACATAAAGCCGTCCGCCTTTACCTCCTAGGACTTCATCTAGCATTCATTTAGGAATAGGTCGACCTGGGAAACAACGGTCATTAGAAAAAAAATCCGAACGCAGATTTGAACCCATGACTATGGGCCCTGCAGGCGAGTCGCTAAGCCACAACGTTTCATAAAATGAGTCGAATCTATGACTTGATACGCTGCATGGACCAGCATTTTACAAAATAAAGAATATTATATTCCTGAAAACTGTGAAAGGATATCTTGATATACTGAATTAAATCATGGCCAGTTGGACTGTATGTAAAGTATTTTGGAAGTGACAGAGATTTGGTATTATAGACGACCCTGACAGATAAAAAGAGTAATGGAGATAACTGATTGTCCACATCAGAAAGACACACTCTAGCTTATCTGGTCATGTCAAGAGAAGAAGAAAACTGGAGTAAATCGTGATGGTAGGGAAGCTGGAAAGAGACAGAAGGAGACCGAGAGAGAACATGCTGGACAGGCTTACATCATGGAAGATCATCTGCGTTAGAAAGGATCGCAGGTACAGAAACGAGGCAGAAGGGTGTGGATACACATATACGAGACAGAAGGTTGTGGATAACATGACTATCATCGCAAAAGATTGACAGAGAAACGTGTCATTGTCCTTATTTTATCAAACATTAGTGGACAGATAATATTTCTTACCCTCTGAAGTGGTGTATAATTCCCAAATTTGTCAAAGTTAAACAAGTCTACCACGGCGTTGCTGAAAGTTGCTGCTGCGAATTGTACGGCGTCTTGACCCAAATGGAAATTCTCAGCCAGATTTGCCGCAAACTTTAGTTCCTCGCCGAAACCATTGATGCCGACGTTGTCAGATGAGTCTAGGAGTAACAGGATGTCCAGAAGTCCCTTGCGACATGGTGCTGGAAAAAAGATGAATTTTGTTTAAGAAAGTTAGGCAATCGTCACCTTCTAATTGTACGGTACACTAAGAATTTTTCATCAACGGGTAGTGATAAAAGTTCAAATCTCAGTTCCCTTGTAAAATTTAGTCCAGAGGATGACAATAACTACAGAAACAAACATATGGAGAATCTTTGAGACCGTAAACACGTTACACACACACACACACACACACACACACACATATATATATATATATATATATATATATATATATATATATATATATATATATATATATATATATATTATGCATATAACGTGTATTAATAAGTACTTGTCGCGTGCGGATGTGCACTTGAACACACCAATATTGACTGAGCAAATTGGACGCCATAAACTTGACGTAGGGTTGTTAGGGATTTGAATCTAGAGGATTCGTAGTCGAAAGGTTCAAGAAGGCAGGCGTGTGGTCGGGCTTTGGTGGATCCTTGAGGAAGATTTACCCCGGGATTCCATGGAGAAATTTCAGCCTAGTGATGTGGCGTTACTGCCGTTCTTCAGGAAGCAAGAGTGTTCTAAGCTATTGGATCACTCAGTGAAACGGCTGGCAGAATTACGAAGGATGGACATAGCCGTGTTCTGGAGTATCAGACTGTAGATGGATATGTTGAAGTAATCGTTTAGATTCTCACTTCGTACCGTTGACCTGAAGAGTCCGATATAGAATATGGATTCTAATGTTTCAAGACGGGTGTGAGTAGGCTAGCGAGTGCTCGGAGTGTTTGCGTGAGTCTTGTCGACACATCACGTTATTGTCCATTTTCATTAGGATCATTGTGTTGGTAATACATCATTGTTACACTACGTACATGGCCTTCGTCATTTGATTTACGTCTGGGCATCTTGGAGTTGACTGTTATCGTTACGGTTGTCATGTTGCGCCAGGAGTTCCTGATAGTTCATGGTGGTCCTCGACCACCGTTTCAGTGGAAATAATTTCTGACTATTTTCCCCCACACTTGGCTTGTAGAATGTTTTATGTTATGTGCCGGTCACGTTGACTTGCACCTCTAAGTCGTGAGTTTGTACGCTTTCACTAATTCAACTGCCTTTGTCCAGATCAGTGGTAGCCTATTATTGTCTCTCACTCCCGAGCACGTCTAAAAGGGAGTCTTTCACCTGTTAACCGCAGGCCCCTTGCCGATCCAGCACGTTCCAAATGGAAGCCTTCGCCTCGCAGCATCGTTAGCGACATTCTCAAATGGCCGCCATGCCGTCGAACATGAGTCTCGCCTTAGGAGTCGCATCGTGCCTGACTGCACGTCCCAGTACTCATAGAACGAATTACAAAAATAGAAGGACATACTGTCTTCTTCTTCTTCTTCTTTGCGATAATTTAGTATGCTCAGGTCAGACCATCGGGTTGGTTGCCTGTATGAACTCACACGTCAGCTGTTTCGTCCTTATATGGTAGCCTGCTCTGCACGCTCTGCTTTTGAGGCGTGGTGTCTTTTCGAAGTTTTAGGTAGAGTAGGCAGGTCTGCAGAACGAGCTCAGATGTATGTAGCCATGTTTGACAGGCACACTGTGGGGATTGATTTTATGCATGTGGTAGCTGAGCCTGAAGTGTTCTGTTCGTAGACTGAATATTGTTGTATGTGGCTTTCTGATGAGTCTGCTGATGGAGTCTTGTGGATGTTTACTTTTGGTTTGTTCTCTCCACAATGTTTTGCGTTTTTCCTTGATAAGTGGTTTGACTTCTAGTAATGAAAATGAATGGGTTTCTTGTTTCTCCTTTGTTTCTATGTTTGCAAGTCAGTAGGCTGACTCATTACCTGGCCTGCCGATGTCAGCCAGGATTTACTAGAGAACGATTTGACAGTTGTCTGAAAGTCTGTTTAACTGGCATGTCAGTTCTTTCTCCATGTTTTATTGTGGATCGATTTGCGTCGCATGGAGGACTGACATGCAGTCGCTGTAACTGAATTAGATTTCCGCAGGCTTTCCTTTCTTGGCCATGGGGCTATTTCTGCCTACTTCCGTTTCTTTGAAAGAAGTCCTTATATCCAGGATTGATTGATAAGGTCTAGAAGTCGTTGCCTATCAGCTGGTCCCAAGTGTACTATCATTTCATTTGTCATTCAATCATGTTCAAGTTCCTTCCTTTACTTAAGTTTTCTTCAGTTCTTGAGGACTGAAAAGTGTATCCATTATATCTTTGTTATTTGCTTGCTTTTTATTGGGTTTCCTCAGTTCTCTCGTCACTACTTCTTCTTCTCTCACTCTAGATATGAAGATTTCCTCGGCGATATTATTGGCCAGCAGGTTTGCTGCTTGTTTACCAATGACAGTTTTCCTACCATCTTCCATGACAGTGTTAACATGGCTGGTATAAGTATCTTCAATTAGTCTCGTTACTAGATGCCAAAGTTTTTTTTTCTTTTACTGTCCTTTTCCATGTTGAGAACTGCAGTATTTTTCTGCTATCTTATTCTGATGTATGTGAGCTTTTCTCTTCTATCAATAGCCTGATTTTTGTTGTTAAAAAAAAATGACACACTATAACATTATATGTTGCATTAACTCCACAGACTGTGATTACAACAGTAGGTACGGCACATTTTCAAATACCACACCCTATAAATATGTGTGTGTGTGTGTGTGTACAAGTATGTGTGTGTGTGTGTACAAGTATGTGTGTGTGTGTACAAGTATGTGTCTACAAGTATGTGTGTGTGTGTGTATACCAAAAACAGCCTTTGCAGAATGGTGCAGAACTGAATTTTCAGACTCAAAAAACATATTCACAATGGGCTGGGTTGCATTTTTACGTGCGTATGTGTGCAACAAAGGAAACAAAAGAGAATTCCTAACAAGATTGGCATGTTCCAAAAACAAGAGAGAGGGATAGAAAGAAAGAAAGAAAGAAAGAAAGAAAGAAAGAAAGAAAGAAAGAAAGAAAGAAAGAAAGAAAGAAAGAAAGAAAGAAAGAAAGAAAGAAAGAAAGAAAGAAAGAAAGAAAGAAAGAAAGAAAGAAAGAAAGAAAGAAAGAAAGAAAGAAAGAAAGAAAGAAAGAAAGAAAAAGAAAGAAAGAAAGAAAGAAAGAGAGAAAGAAAGAAAGAAAGAAAGAAAGAAAGAAAGAAAGAAAGAAAGAAAGAAAGAAAGAAAGAAAGAAAAAGAAAGAAAGAAAGAAAGAAAGAAAGAAAGAAAGAAAGAAAGAAAGAAAGAAAGAAAGAAAGAAAGAAAGAAAGAAAGAAAGAAAGAAAGAAAGAAAGAAAGAAAGAAAGAAAGAAAGAAAGGGAGAGAGAAAGAGAGACAGAGCGAGATAGTATGACTCCAGGAACGACACAGTACGGCAAATAACGGACATCGATGACGACTAAAGCGGACCGTCTTATGTGTAACTAAGTCTCGCATATACCTGTAACAAACACTAATTGCCGAAGATCATTCAAGAATTATATCACATTATCCGTTACATTAAAACACGTTAAAATATGTAAATTTTCCCGTACATGATGCTTGTTTTCAAATTTTTACTTTTAATTTTATACTTTATTTGTGTTTGACCTAAATAATTATTACAGATTAACCCCGGTATTGCTAGATCAGTGTAACTCTTCTTCATTATTCACTTGTAAATAAATGTCGGTCATTACCTTCTGAATGTTTGTGTATCCGTGCAGTATTTACAAGTCAGTCGGCGTCTGTGACTTATGTGTTACGAAGGCACTTTTGCAATGCCGGGTGGGGGTGTGGGGGGGGGGCGGGTTCGATCCCAGCTGCGGGCTTTGCGCCTTGCGTTGGTTTCGACAGTAGTATCCAGAAGCCGACCGTCCTGACAGCAATGACAAACTACTGGACGTAAACGTGCCTAGGAAAACCACAACAGCAAAAAAATATGCTGGGTTTGGTTCTGTAGCATCTTGTATAGGATACGCAATTAACTAACTAACTTACAAGACATGAATTTTACATTAATACCTGATGTCACAGCACTAGAAAATGTCCATGTGCTCAATCCTCATTTTCAGCAGTAAGAGCAAAGTTCCAGTTTCAGTGGTACCAATAGCGGTGATTGTATGTCCGTCTCACGTTCCACTAAATGTTGAGCGTCGGCCAGATCCCCTGGTGACTCCTCGCTTCACTATTTTCTTCACACCGTGATCATCTATTTATGCTCCTTTGACTGCTTATAAAGGATCCGTACAACATCTAACTTCTCATGCATCACTTTACCATGCTCATAAAGGATCCGTACAACATCTAACTTCTCATGCATCACTTTACCATGCTTATAAAGGATCCGTACAACATCTAACTTCTCATGCATCACTTTACCATGCTCATAAAGGATCTGTACAACATCTAACTTCTCATGCATCACTTTACCATGCTCATAAAGGATCCGTACAACATCTAACTTCTCATGCATCACTTTACCATGCTCATAAAGGATCCGTACAACATCTAACTTCTCATGCATCACTTTACCATGCTCGTAAAGGATCCGTACAACATCTAACTTCTCATGCATCACTTTACCATGCTCATAAAGGATCCGTACAACATCTAACTTCTCATGAGTCACTTTACCATGCTCATAAAGGATCCGTACAACATCTAAATTCTCATGCATTACTTTACCACCCAGTGTTACAGAACCAGCCAGTCTTTCTACCTGTTAATTTCTCAACATACCGGCATGTCCTGGAACAAATATCCAAAGGATGCTAATTATTCGGGACACCTGAAGTGATGCTTGCCATCACACAAATCTGCAGCACTTACCAGTTGCTAAAGTAGTCGCTGGTTTCGGAGTGGGACGGGGAGAATAGTTGGGGATGTCTTTGCATGGGTCCTTCACAAGGCCAGGGTAATTGCAAGTCTGATATTCTGGATCGTAGATTTCGAATCCCGGACAGGACATGACGTCAGTCTTCAGAAAGGTGCACATGATGAACTGGGAACAGTTGTATGGATGAGGATGGATACCATTCTCCAAGTTCTTTTCTTGGCAAACATTCGAGACGTCTGAAAACAACAGTCATATATGTGCCTTTGTGAAATATAGTTAAAACTGTATATTTACCTAAATAATTCGAGTCGTTTTTGTCCAGCTCCGAGTTCTGAGTGAATCGGATTTTGTAAATATAATCTTCTTCTTCTTCGCGTTCGGTTTCGTATGCTCAGATCAGACCATCAGGTGGGTTACCTCTATAAACTAGCATGTCAGCAGCAGGTCCTTCATGGTTCCCCATAGATTGCTCTGCACCCTTTGCTCTTGAGGCCAGGTTTGTAAATATCAGCCAGGCATCACAGTGGTCGGGGCTGGTGGTTGTGTGGAAAGGGTGGGGGGGGGGGGGTGTAAAAAAGGTGGGGGGTTTGAATAAAAAGTTCCCATGCCGCTTACTTTAAAAAAAAAAAAATTAATAGTTCGACCACTTACAGACTGCTGCTAGCTAGCCGAAACTGATTACAGTCTCCGTCTATGTCTGTGGTCTGGTTTAATTGCGTGACTAAGGTTTTAGTATTTGTGCCGTCTCTGGGCTTGATGCTTCCTTCCTTCGAGTTCGACCGCTCGTTCTATGCCCAGTTGTTAGCTGTTTGCTTCTTGCCTTTTCTTTCCAGGTTTTTCCTCTATGGTGTCCTCTCTTTTGATTTATCCAGGCGTATTTCGTAGGGGAGGGAGCTTCTATACATAACGTCCTTTGGACCACCATTATAGTTTTAAGATTTTGAATATTTTATGGCCAAAAAGTACTGAAAACAGTTTTTGGTTTTGGATAGATCCGAAATGTGAAAGTATTTCCCATTCGCCCATATTGGTTCTATAGTTAACTTCCTGCAATAAGAACGTGTTAGTCATGTCGTGAATATGTGTGTGAAGTGTTAGGTGTTAGGTGAACAGTTATTCTGTTCGTCATTTGTTATAGAAATGAAAATTCACGCTGCTTAATAAGGAATGGGCCCCGTCTGGGATCAATGGAAGCTCTTCGGCGCCTATAAATGGGGAAATTAAGTTTCGTTTTGCAGCTTGAGAGTGAATATTCCAAGAATACGGAATTTTTTTGTTTGTTTAAGTTGTACAAGATTTTATGATGGATTTGGCAGGGTTTGAACATGGTGTCCAAACATGCTCAATAGAGCTAGAGTTAGGCGACATTGCTGCCTGTGGACAACAAACATTAATGCTCTGCACGGTAAATGGAGTGGTTAATCGCGCTCGATAAGCGGTTACATTGCAGTGCATACAAGGAAAGACGTGTCTATGAGTGTGGGGAAATGGCCTCCACAGGGGAAGTCAGGACATCTTGCATGCACCGCTGCGAAGCTAATTACTATCAGTTGTGTTCGGAACTTCTCTGTTGCGCTTCCCCATTGGAAGTGAAAAAGCCTAGCGGAAGCAGTTAAAAGCACTTTGTTCACGTGGACATGTGTAGACCCTGATTCTGCCATCATACCTTTCCATCATGAATGTCGACTCGTCCTAAAACATGACAGACTACCGTTTCATTAGGATTCATGTGACGTGAACATTTGTCCAGTGATGTCTAAACTGCATATGGTGTGGTGGAAGTCAAGGACGTCAGTAAGGCTGGAGTAGACGTATGTTTGCTTCCTTCAAACGGATTTTTCATGTTGTCCGTTGTCCTTTGAACAGACATGAAACGGTTCAGTGAATAAACTGTGTCAATAAATAGGTTATGTTTTTGACAAGTCACCCTTGGTGTTGCTTGTCATGGATTTCTCTGGTGACTCCAGTTACTCGTAAACATGGCTGCAGTCGGTAGGCTGTTAATTGGGAGACATCAAGTGTTTTTCTTTACCACTGAGAAAAAATGCTTGACAAGAAACGTACAGTTCACATTGTAATAAACGCATACACGCACACGTGATACATAGTACTTACTTCTTATGGAAGTTTGAGGCACTGAAAAGTAAGAGAAAAAACATACATAATTAGGGCATCTATTCCTTGTAATACGTAAAAGGTAAAATATTTACACACACACATACACACACGCGCTGTATATATATATATATATATATATATATATATATATATATATATATATATACAGCCTACCCTAGGTCGCCTACTGCGATATGCTGGGTAAAGTGCAGGGCTGTAATTATTTCTTTACCCTAATGGTCTAGGTAACAAATAAAAAAAAATGACAAAGAAATTAAAAACTTAATATCTAGGCTATATAATAAATTGCAATGATGACTGTTTGACATAAGTCATGGCAATACAAAAATTAAACAGCAAAAAAGTATATAGTTAAGCACAAGCAAGGAAATCAAATCAATCAACACCTGTGAAATTTGGCCAGTTTAACCATCCCATACAAGAGCAAAGTATGCGGAGCAAGCTATGGGGAACCATGAAGGACCGGCATCTGACATGCGAGTTTATAGAAGCAACCCATCTGATGGTCGAATCTGAGCATACAAAATCGAACGCAAAGAAGAAAAAGAAAAACCATCCCATACAAAGTTAGAAATGGTATTGCCAGACAAACTTTAGGAACAACACCATGCAGAAAACTCATTAACAAACAGAAAATTCAATGCATTGGTCAACTAATAAGAAAGCAGCTAGAACAACTGTCAACACTGTCGGTACACATGAAAAGATCTAAAGTGAAAGCAAGAGGTCGACAAAGGAGATATGGAATGGTGACATTAAAGAGTTTCTACTCGACATGGAATTACACCGCCATTGCTGTTAATGAAGTAGATCGCCAGCTGTTCCTCTCCATAATGCTTTAAGTCAGAAGTAAAAAGTACGATGATGATGATGATGATGAGGGTGATGATGATGAAGAAGATGATGATGATCAAGGATTTCAAAATCAAAATTTTAAGACAATGCATCTTCCCTGTAGCAACATACGGATGTGAGTTGTGGACTATCTCCTATGGGTTCTTGGGATAAAATGCTATTACAAAAATTGTCAGAAAGCGGTGAACAAAGAAGAGATGAAATACTGACATTTTTAAAGATCTGAACACCAAGGAAGATTGGCTAAAAAACCGCATCTGTCTCAGGAGATGAAATATTTTGGTCATATCAAGGGTCACTGCGGATTATAACAATGTCAAAGCAAAAGGCGTGGCACCAGAAAAGAGGCCAGGGACCAAAACGAAGATGGTCACAGAATATAAGTGACTCCATGGATATAAAAGTACATCAGATGGGATTGCTAACAAGAGACGGAGTTTCTTTCCGGCAGACCGTGATGAGAGCGACGTTCTGCAAAACATCTGCTACCCGATGTAGATGAAGATGATGATGATGAACTAGGCAGTCCCAGCAAAAATTGTCCAGTTTGCACAAGCAAAGTAAACAGTAACAAAAAACCTAAAGGGGAGCTGTCAGATATGCCAAGACTAACAGTCTCACACTATAATTGCAGCTAAATTGTTGGCGCAAATCATTATTCACGAAAATCGGCATGGCACTCAAAGCGGTACGCTCATTACAAAACTTAAACGAGATTGGAAGAAAAACTCCAAAATGTGACAAAGCAGTAGAAGAAAAAGTGCTAAACCAAGTCAATAAATTCAAGTATTTGGGGATTTTTTTTACCATAAGATGGACGATGTGTGACATCAATTAGGAGCAGAATTGGCCAGACAGATACAGCATTTCAGAAGACGAAAAGTATCTTATATGATAAATTACTCTTATTAAACATCAGAAAACGAGTACTTAAATGTTACATCGAGAATGCTCGGTGTATGGTAGGGTATCTTGGAATGTGAGCTAACAAATTAAGAAGAGTTTAGAGGCAACTGAGATGTAGTTCTTGAAAATAATGTTGCGAATACCTTGAACTGCCAGAATAACTAATCGTGATATCCTGGAAATGGCTGATGAAAGCAGAACATTATATACAACAATGAGAAGAAGCCAATCAAAGTTCTGTGGTCATGTGATGAGAAAAGAGCCCTGAAAAATATCGTGACGACAGAAAAGATCACTGGTAGAAGAGGCAGAGGCAGACCAAGAGAAACGATGGTGGATGGCTTAAGACAGTGGCATGGAGGGATATCATCAGTGGAATTGACCCAAAACACCAAAGACTCAGATCTGTGGAGATGTATGAACGCCTACGGGACCTGGCAAGGCACTTGATGATGAATTGGTCACCTGGCATTTTAGTGCAATCCACATGATATATACAAAATAATGTTGAACCAAGCATTCAACTCAGTAACTGGGCGACAGAAAGTGTTGTCTCTCCGTCCAAAACTGGAGAATATGCGTCATTAAAACATACCTGGGGGAAAGGTGAAGGATGCGGGACAATTTTTCAGAGCGTCAGCGGTCCGTCGGCTATCAGCCATTTTGGCAGGAATTTCAAGCAGATGTTAACACATGGCAAGCCTGTCTTTGCATCCACTTACATCAAAAGCCACTACTCAAGTTCTACAGCTGAGTAATAACATTATGTATCGTAGGAGTTAAACACTCGCTTGTGTTGGAATTGCAAAGATGAGTTTGAAAAAAAAAATATAATAAAATAGCGTTTGTTCCCAAGTCGAGCCGGCCTAAAATGGGTGCCAGGAAATGATAATTAAAGGCGGGAGTCGTGATGTTGATCATATCGTCTATGGTGTGCTGGACAGTCTATACAAATTTGGGTATAAAAATATGTACCCGGTGTGCAAATGAAGTGAAAAAGATTGTTTACTTAAAAAAAGGGGTAAAATCGAGAGAATCGACTATATTGCACCGGGTTTTATCCCATATGGCGTGATATCTCTCTCTCTCTATCTCTCTCTCTCTCTCTCTCTCTCTCTCTCTCTCTCTCTCTCTGCCGCCGAACGGCTAGTTGCCTGCTGAGAGCGCCACACAAGAACGAACTCTGAAGCACCGTGGACGATTCCCATGGATCTTCGTAAAAATTGCACTGAAGGGCGCAAGACAAACGGCTAGACCACTTCGCCACAGAAAGCCCTAGACCCCAAAGGGCTGGAGATCGTTTACTTACAGTAAGTAAAAGGAAGGACCCTTCTACACAACTTTAGGCATATTGGGCATTTAGGGCTGGACCTATGTTTGTGAGAAAAACATCAGCACTTGGTGCTTAATTTGGTAGCATCACGTCGGTCGCCTTTACTTTCCAGGACTGCACCTAGTACCCACTCAATGCTGGGTTGACCTTGCATCAAGGTAATTGTTTGAAAAAAAAAAGGTCGGTTCCGTCATTTCTTAGAGTATCTTTCTTTAAAATAATATGTTGTTTCCCATTCACATATAGACGTCTTAGACTTATCACTGAGTACAGGAACTTTGTATACTTACATTCACACACCGTGTACAAGAACTGTGTATACTTACATTCACACACCGTGTACAAGAACTGTGTATACTTACATTCACACACCGTGTACAAGAACTGTGTATACTTACATTCACACACCGTGTACAAGAACTGTGTATACTTACATTCACACACCGTGTACAAGAACTGTGTATACTTACATTCACACACCGTGTCTGCTGTCAGAGACTGTACTCGTTCAACTAGAACTCTGGGAATCAACAGGTTGCTGACCACATCCAGCACGTCATGGCCTCCTAGAGTCTTCAGTTCTGTGATGTTGGGTTTGGAGACGCCAACAGCAATGATGTTGAGACCAGATGCACGCAGCTGAGCAGCAGTTTTAGCCGCTGTTGGGGATATACACACAATTTAAAGAATAGGCTTTGGTGCATTGGCTCTCAAACTTTCTAATAGGGTGACCCTTGGATACCGTTCCTCATGTTGTGGCGACCCCCCCCCCCCCCCACCCAACCAAACAATTATTTTCGTTGCTACTTCATAACGTCTGTGAATATGTGTTTTCCGATGGTCTTAGGCGAACCCTATGAAAGGGTCATTCGACCTCCATAAGGGTCGCAGGCTGAGAACCGCTGCTATAGTGTGCCTGCAATCGTTTACACACAACACCCCCCCCCCCCCACCACCCTTGAGCATAGGAAAAGATCACCTACCACCCCCCCCCCCCCTCACCTTTCCGGCCCCCAACATAATACAATGTGATTAAATAAAAAAAAACAGGACGACAAAGAGAAAAATCCCAACTGCTATTAACAAGACCTTGGAAAAGAATATCCATATATATATATATATATATATATATATATATATATATATATCTTAAAGTGCCAACAATCAAAAGAAACAATCACCAACAACTGGTATTTGAGAGTCACAATATCAATCTGAGGGATGATACTGTGTTGCCTTGATGATATCTGCTATTTTTTCGTCTGATTTGGAAAATATACAAAGGGGATCTCTCTCCACATTAGGCTGCCTACTGTTGTTTCTTTTCATGCCTATTAAAGCTAAACATTCGAATTAATACAAGTACTTTCTCAGTTTGGAAATTTCTTAACCCCGCCCCCCCAGCCCCCCCCCCCCCCCCCTTAAAATTCCTTAAGCCACTAGTGAACTAGAGTATCAAAATGTTGATAATAAAAACGTTAGTCTCCCCCCCCCCCCTCACCCCTCCCCCCCACCCCACAGACCTTCCACGGACCGCCAATATACACACTAGCTCATTTCCGATTGGTCGACCTTTAGCCAACCTCACTTCTGATTGGTCGACCTTGAGTCACCCGTCCTTGGCACAATGTGACAGGGGTGTTACCCCAATGCCGTTAATATCGCGTCTTCTATATTTAAGCATAATAGCGCCTTTAACACTACACAAATATCGAAAAACTGTGTCTAACACACAAACCCTTTAGAGATTGATGAAACCTATGTAGCAGGCATTCTCTTTCTCAGAATAAAAAAGCCAATGCAAGTCAACACAGATAGCAAACAACAGAGCACCACGCCCATAACGTCCAGCAGGTTAGACCAGTCCAAGAAAGTTATCAATAGAATGTAACCTACTTTCTGTGGGGAGACTAACGTTTGTAAGACCCAAAATGTGTATACAAGAAGATCCACTGGCTATGAGAGCAAATAGGGCTGGTGAACTGGCAAGAGAAACAGATATTTTCAGGCGTGCCGTGAAGAGTGCGTCGTTTATTGTACAGTATTTGCTGACTGATGAGAGTTTCAAATTCATTGCGTCGAGTTTGATCACATTTGGCTCGGTCTCTTTCCGTCGAAAGGATTCATGTCGCATAAAGAACGAACTCGGAAGCGCCAGAAATGAACAGCAGCAACAGCAGTAGTATTAGTAGTAGCAGTGGTAGTAGTGTTGTAGCAAAGGTCTGGTAGTAGTGGTTGTAGCAGTAGTAATTGTCACTGAAGCTCTAGTAGCAGTAGTTGCCGCATCAACAAGAAAATGAAGAAATAAATTCTAAGACCTAGATAAATCAAACGTGCAGTAAATTGTTGTAAAATTAAACTATAGCAGTCAATAAAAAAATTTTAAACTGGTATTTAAACAATCAATAGGAGACAGTTTAACAAAAATAAAGATAATAAATAAAGGTCAATAATACTAGTCTGAAGACGACATAAAAACAATCACTAACCTTGGGGAGCTGTTACAGAATGTCCATCAGTCAAGATAATCAATATCTTTTTAGCGTTGGGACGTCCTCCCGAGGCAGCATCATAAACTCGCTGAGCACTCACAAACCTGAGCGCATTGTCCGTTTCCGTGATGCCACCAAGGTACAGAGCAGTCGCTAAATCCTGGAAATAGGTTAAACTTCTCGCGGTTATTCTTAACCTACTCAGTATAATTGCAGCTTTGCTTTAACCTATCAACTCTTTCAGAACCAAGCAGCTCACCACAGATTTCCTTGTCATTGTTACCGTAATAGGATGTTTCTGCTATCTTTTATCACAGATAGAAGCTATATTAACATCTTGTGTCTTAATTATTAGATCACCTATCTTTGTCATCTACTGTCTCTGTTGAGAGTTAGCGAAACAAAGAATAAGTATTTTTATATTTTTTAGCTCATCTTCTTGGGGGAAAAAATGGTGTATAAGGTAAAAAGGGTTTGGAAATACACGAGTTAAATACCAGACAATGTATTATATAATTCATTCATTCAGTAGCATGTCCCTCGCGGAACCTCGCTGCCATAGCAACCCTCCGGAAAACCTTCCTATCCTGAGCAAGATGTCCTGCATCTGATACACCCATCTGGAGATCATCTGCCACATCCTGCACCCATCTTCTCCTTGGCCTTCCTCTTCCTCTCTTCCCAGGCATATACCCCTCCATTATTGTTCTCTCTAGACTTCCATGACGTTTCAAGTGACCAAAATATTTCAATTTTCTTTGTTTTATTGTCTTTACTAGCCAACCCTCTTCAATATTCAGCTCTTGAAGTATGGATGCATTTGTTCTTTTCTTTACCCAAGATATTCTTAGAACCTGTCTGTAACATTTATATTCAAATGCATTTATGCGCTGTTCCGCTTGTTTAGTAAGTGTCCAGGTCTCACAGGCGTATGTTGCAATGGGAATTATATAATACTTGATAATTTTTTATGTGCCCCATTTAACATTTATTATGTGGCAGAAAAAAAAAGGGGGTGGGGGTGGTTAGATGTAGTGAAAGCGTGGATGAAGATCGTGACTGGTTTCTGCGTCAGGCGATATTTTTATGTGACCCCAATAATGCATTGTAACATTTCCCCCTTTGTGTTGCATTCTGGTATTTGCTGTCTATCCGCAGCGTTAGTTCATCATTCCTGATTACATTTTTTTTTGTCACAAATTATCTAAGACAAAAGGGAACCAAAGGCAGAGTGAAAAGCTTATGGTGATGTTGCACATAACTTACGTTGTCGTATGTTTGTAACACATATACCAGTGTTTCCCTACCTTGTTTTTCTTTGTGTAGTTTTTTTTTTTTTTTTTTTCTCAGTTGTTGTGGTGTGCCAGGCAACATCTAATGCCTAACTATAGTACTTTTCTCTCCCCCTGCCTCCCTCACCCTCCCGTAAGTTAAAACGCTAGACAAACCCATATTCTAACCCCTCACCACCCCCCCCCCCCCCCATTTTTTAACTATACAATTTCCCCCACTTTACAATGGATCTTCCCCCCCCCCCCTTCCCCAAGCCCCCACTGAACTCTCCCCGTTAAACGTGGGACCAACATTTGAAAACACTAACATGGAGGATAAGCCAGCCCTCTAAAAACATTTCATGGTGGCGGAAATTCCGCTTCTGAGGAGACATTAAATAATTATTTGCGCTTACTGAAGATGTCGCAACTAGGCAAGTAAAAGTAAAAATTAAAAATAAAAAAAACTGTTTTATGTTTTTGGATGTATAGTAATAGACCTAATGCAGTCGCCATACATGAAAGGATCCGAAGTGAAAGCAAAATCCGTTCTAGGAGAATATGGATTGATGACGTTAAAGAGCTTCTATATCAACAAGGAATGACTTTAGCCATTGCTGCACATCCAACAATGGATCGCAAATTGTTTCTCCCCACAACGCTTAAAGGCAGAAGTGGACACTGATGATGAGATGATGATGATGATGGTGATGAGCAAAAGACCTTTATTTTAATGACCATTCGGCACTTGGTTTATTGATGTGCTCAGCATCACGCCGGCCACCTTTACACCCTCAGACTTTTTTGTAGAACCCATTTTAGACAAGGTCGGCCTAGGAGCCAGTCATTTTGAAAATGACTCGACATAGATCTGAACCCACAAACTTCAGAAGCGCACGAGAGCGTTTATCCGCTGTGCTCCGATAGCTCACTCCACGAGGGAAGTGAAGTCATTGTTATGTTATGTAATTACGTGTGCGCGGCTGATTGATTGACTGACTAACTAAATGATCTATTATTGCATGGTAACTAAGTATGCTTTCATTCATTAATTTGTCATGTTGTGCCGTTATATAACAAACAGGTCTCGCAGCCTATTTTCCCTTTCTGTTCCTTCTTGTGCAATCACTTTGATATCATGGCTGGAATCAATTGGAACAACTCTGGCTTCTCTCGTCAGAATTCGCCTTAGGAGATCTCTTTGACTTCCTCCTTTCCCCAATTCTTCTATGTCAGAGCCTGTTTGGTAACTCCCTGTTCGTCTCTTACATGAATGTTCCCGAAAACACATTTATCATACTTCTTAGCTTCTTTTGATTTCAACCTATTTTTATTGTATTCATTGTCCTCAGGAATTTGTTTTGTAATGCTTTTAACTTGTTTCCCCAAAAGTGTCATGGTTTTCCAACCTTAACCTATGTTAAAAGTAAATTAATAGTATTAGTTACCACTGGGTGGTCAATTGATGCATGACAAGGACGATGTGATCAATACCCTTTGGGTACAAGCAACCGTATCAGAAGATTATTATAGACTGGAGAGAATGAGGCACCTGAGGCACCTACACTCGGAGGAAAGGCATGGCAGACATATAACTAGATTGTGACCAGTATCATCAGTATTGGAACTCTGCGCTGGCTGCTAGAGATAAGGACGGAGGATGCATGGGAATGCCCCTAGTGTTGTGATGTCAATTCTTGACTCAACTCAACTCGACTATCAATTAATATACGTAACACTGTGATAAAACTATATAATTTACAATTATATATTTCGTTTAAGGAACGGACTAAGGACACAGATTGATTGTTCTACCTGCTCAAGCCGAAACTGGTCTTTAAATTGGCCTATATTGAACACCTTCTGAACAGAAAAGCCTCCAAAAGTGGCAGCCCCAATGTAGATGTTGGTCAGGTCAAAATTCTTGGAGAAATTCCCAACATATTCAAGTTCCTTTTTGTATGCATCTTCACCGACGTTACTGGAGGCGTCGAGTAGAAAGTAAATATCGGCTTGGCTGTTGCATCTGAATAACTTCACTGGAATTAGAAACATTTAAGAAATTGTGCAATATATCCTTGTCATTGAGAGTTAGAAAAAGAATTCTTGATTGCTACATACATCGAGTTTTAACATATGGCTGTGAATCCTGAACAATCGGTAGGTAGGGAAAACAGGTTCTTGATGCCTCAGAGATGTGGTTTTACAGAAAAATGCGCAGAATACCTTGGACAGCCATAAATAGCAACCAAGAGGTTTTGAAAAAGGCGGGAGCCCGAAGACAACTTATAACAGACATCAGAAGGAGACAGTCATCATTTTTCGGCTATGTTATGAGAAGAGGGGAAATAGAACAAGTTGTGACCACTGGAAAGATTTATGGAAGGAAAGATATTGGAAGACAACGAGAGAAGATTCTTGACAGTCTTTTTGCATGGCATGGAGGTGTGTCGGCACACGAACCGATACAAGCAGCAAGAGATCGTAGACAATGGAGAGGAATGAACGCCCACTCCAGTCGGCAAGGCACCTTATGGTGATGAATAATGGCATGTTCGTGCGTCCTGAAGGAACTGGATTTTTTAAAACAGGCTTTCAGGTCGACCCAGACTCAAACAGGTAGCAGGTACAGTCTTCTTAAGTGAAGGTGACAGGGGATATGTTGACCACATCACCCACCGAGTGCGTTCCATTTGATCTATAAAATATAAGTCAAGCCCTACATGCTAAATGGTAAAGTTGCTAAATGTGCCTGAATGCGTGGAAAAGAGTCCTATACTGTTTTAATTTTTTGCGCATTTTTGCACTCTGTGGACTTGCTGTGAATCCGCATAGAGTGGAATTTTTTAATGTTTTGTTCTGAACTGATCTTTGCTCTCAGATCTTCTTTCTCTTCTTCTCGTCTGCTTTTCTTACACCTTGTACCTCATCGAAGTGTCGGGGGGAGATAAAGCGTTCGTTGAGGAGCTCTGTCAAAAGCACCATAAAGAATGATCATTTATGTGTGGCTCGCTGTCGCAGATAGTACCAGGGCATTTTTGTTAGGTGTCCAAACCACTTCATTTGTTGGTCTTTGGTGATCTTTAAGAATGGCTTTATTCCTAGCATTCGTCTGATTGCGTGATTTCGTATTCTGTCTTTCCTTAAAACTCCTGCAGCTCTTCTAAGGCATTTAATCTCTGTTGTCACAATTGTACGTTTATTTGAGGATGTAGCTGTCCACGTTTGGCACTGATAGCATAGTGTTTGTAAGAAAATAAGTTTGATAAGATTCACTTTAGTACTCCGCGGTTTTTGCGTGTGTGCCAACAGGGGAGATAGTTAACCCATTACTTGCCCCATTGCTCTCAGGTCGACCTAGCCTAAAATGCGAATCAGCTAATATCATGGGAAGTAAACTGGCCAGTTTGATTTGAACTGTTTAGTCTATAATAATATGAGCCTACCACAATCTGCTGGCGTCATAATCCCCCATTGCTAGTACCAAACCAGCATGAGATAGTTTGGACATGGAACCAGCTCTTCTACCCTCTTAAACATATTTGCTGCAGTAACTTGCAGAAATCAAAGCCACTCAAGGAAACAAGCGAGACAAGTGAAAATGATGCACCAAAGGCAGTAATGACGTTTGCAGATGAACGGACATCAATAACAGTTCAAGAAGATTTAACACTGGAAACAAAAAGTTCAGTTTACCTATTAAGTATTTCTGATTGTCAAGGAAATAAAACGTAAATTACGACATGCATTGGCAAGGCATGTTCATCATTGGGAGGTCCTGTAAAGAACCTTTCTCTCGACATGACACGGCTGAAAGACTTTCTGTTGCTCTAGCCAATAGTCTAGACCCATATATATCTTCATAGTCTTGTACCAGTTTCTCGGAGGTCTGCCTCAGTCTGGTTTTTCGGAAACGGTACCCTCCATCATCGCTCTTTCCAAGCCATCGTGTCGTTTATCATCATCGCTCTTTCCAAGCCATCCTGTCGTTTACCATCATCGCTCTTTTCAAGCCATCCTGTCGTTTACCATCACCGCTCTTTTCAAGCCATCCTGTCGTTTACCATCATCGTTCTTTCCATGCCATCGTGTCTATTACCATCATCGCTCTTTCCAAGCCATCGTGTCGTTTACCATCATCGCTCTTTTCAAGCCATCGTGTCTTTTACCATCATCGCTCTTTCCAAGCCATCGTGTCGTTTACCATCATCGTTCTTTCCAAGCCATCGTGTCGTTTACCATCATCGTTCTTTCCAAGCCATCGTGTCTCTTACTATCATCGTTCTTTCCAAGCCATCCTGTCATTTACCATCATGGTTCTTGAATGCTAGAACAATAAAAAAAATGTCTGCCATAATTAAAATAAACAAATTAAAATACCTTCGTCACAGATCATCTCACTGTAGTCATAGACAATGGACAGAAGCTGGTTATAATCGATGACCACAAAGACATCAGCCGGAAAAGTTGCAATAGTCTCCAATTCCTCTTTGTTTACTGAGACACCGATTCCAATTGAAAGAACCAATACATTGGAATTTTTTAGGTTTGCAGCTTCTATTGCTGTTGCATTGGGATCGTTGGACTGGCCATCTGTGCACACGATGACTATCTTAGGAACCCCTGGACGAGCTCCGTTGCTGGTGGCAAAGGCAGCCTGTCGTGCCAGCTGGAGCGCTGCTGCCGTGTCCGTAGCTCCTCCTGGATAAGAGATGCTGAGAATGGCCTGAAATATATGACACATAAACATATGCTATATTTCATGATATAACCATTTTTTACCTGCTGTCAGGATACTTCAGTGTGCTGGTGGAAGAGCAGGATGACAATCTCGCCGGGGTTACACATCTGGGCATTTTATTGTAAAGAGTGCGTAATAGAGGTTTCTGGGTTCAGATGGATCGTGCAACGGTACAGATAGAGAATTTGTGTGGTTTTCAGGGCGGGCTTTAGGGTGGTTTTCAGTGCGTATGAGTAAAAATAACAAGTGCACTTTAAAAAAAGGTTGCAGTTGACACACACACACACACACACACACACTCACACACACACACACACACACACACACACACACACACACACACACACAAGTCTAGAAAGTCTTAGTTGGATACTGTGTAAGGTGACATATGATGTATGGGTATGATGGCAGTACAGTAATGGCTGTTCTTAGTTCACTGATTCGTTCTTCAACTTTCCATGAGATTAAACGGGATGTCTCGGATCTGCTGTTGGGAAATGGCATCTTTACAGCACTTCGAGTGGCATTGGGGTCAGATCTTCAGGTTGTAGCCTGAAAGAAGGAACACAGTCAGTCCGTGAGAAACATTCTAGCCACATGAACCACTTTATTATGTCAGTCGTTCTTGATCTGTACTAATGACAGACTTTGATGACCTTTTTTTTTTTTACTGGGTAGGATGCGGTTGGGGAGAGGGGAGGGGTGGTGGAACTTTTTTCGCTTTCTGTTTTCTAGATCATGCCAGGTCCTATAGAGTCATTAGTTGTATAAGCCTTTGTTTATGCTACATTGATGTTGGAATTCACGGCCTTAAATAGTCAATCTTTACATAGCTTGCAAACAAAGCCTTTAGCTCTGCTTCTGTTATGTCTGACATGGCTCTCTGTGGTGCATTTTGTGGTTGTCTTTTTACAAGTCTAAACCATTTGAGCTTACATGTTTAGAGGAAGTAGAATAGTTGATGCATCATTAATATATTCTTGATATCGTCATTTCTGATCCTGACTCTTCATTTGACATTCAGAATTCGTCGTAGACATTTTATTTCTGTTTTTTGTCTGTTTCCTTTACTATTTGCTTTTAATGTCTTTTCTTGGCAGTAGTAACACAATGTTGGTAAACATTATTGTTTCGTCAAGTGCTCTTTTTTGTATACATTCTTTTGGTCCTAGTGCTCTTTAAATATATATTATTTTTGTTAATAAAATAATATTCTATCCTCTAGTACTCTTTTAGTATTTATACTTTTGATTAACAATTATTGTATTATCTATTAATGTTTTTGATATACGTTCTTTTCGTTAGCATTTTTTGTATCGACTTTTGCTCTTTAGGAATCTATTGTTATACATATGCACTGCAAAATTGTTGACATCTTTCCAAAGATTTGATTTGAGATATTGCATTAGATATATATACGGCCATACCACGTTGAAAATACCGGTTCTCGTCACGACGGGCGTGTTGAATACTTAGATGGGTAACCGCTTGGGAACAGCACTTGTTGTAGACATTTTTCAACAACAAAGAAGACACATTTTCCTCTTGTAACAGAGCTCAACTTTTTTTTTTTTAAATGACCTTAGCTTCCAGGTCGACCCAGCCTTGAGTCCCGGAAAGTAAAGGTGGTCGGCGTAATGCTGACCACATTACCCGTCTTGTGTCGATGTGTCTATAAAATATAGGCGTGATGCTGACCACATAACCAGTCTTGTGCCGATTGGTCTATAAAATATAGGTCTAGCCCTATACGCCTAGAGGCGTGGAAAAGGGTACTTTACTCCACTTTACTTTATTGCATTCAATTTCTGTAGTTACTTCCAGTTTTCGATTAGATGGTCCTCGTATTTAGCTCCGCCTGACGTCTTTTTCTCACTAGAGTTTTGTGGTTTTTCTTTGCAAATTTTATTGATGGTGAGTAGTACATAAGTTAATTACGGACCCCATTTTTTTGTCATTTCCTCTCTATAAGCTATAGTAACAAGCAGCCACTAAAGAAATAGAGGAAAGCATTCAGCCACTGAATGGTCAAATTAGGAAAAATTACTATTTGCATCTCCCGAGCCAGTGGTGTAGCACTTCTGGCTTGGTAAACTATTCTTATTTAACTAGGCCAATTGCGGCTCCGGTGGTCTGAGGTCAGTTACGGCTCAGGTAAAGCTCGGATCACGTGATTTGGGGTCAAGGGCAGTTGTGTCTGTGTCCTTGTGATGGTGGGGCGTAATGCAGAGTAGGACCTGAGAGTTTCAGGGGTGGCGATAATTAGGGGCAAGCAGTACGGTGGCCGTTTAGGGGTTATAAAATAGAATAAAGAAAGGGGATCGAAACTATCCATGTTATATAGTAGGATTTATAAAATAGAGGGATACGGGATAAGCCTTTTGTAAATTATAAAGTAGAAAATGGGAAGAGACGGGTCATGATCGGTTTCCTTGCGGTAAATAGAAAATATATATGTTTTGTGAACTGTTTTTCAAATAGGCCGGCCTCCAACTAGTCATCCCTTTAACAGGCTGTCACACTGTTTACCCTAGTCGTCGCCCTGTTGTAGCATAAGTGACTGTGCCCTTTTTCACAAAATAAAAATGACGATTTCAAAAGACATTCTGCCCGTCTAACACTCTGGTCGTCCCCTAAATTATTAGTCCGACTCTCCATTTCTCCAGTCGTCTGCCTGGTTGTATCAAAATGACTTTGTCTTACTGGTACACTTACAAGGCGTGTCACTGTTCTTCACGGAGGCTGTCGTGTCGGTTTAATGAACTACTTCTTCCGACCATCTGTTTATAATAGTCGTCCGCCTGAAGGTACCAACAGTAAATGTGCACTTTTTTTACAAACTAAAAAAGACGATTTCAAAAGACTGTCTGCCCTTTGCTATCTAGCTCTCCCTTCAGCTAGCTATTAGACCGTCTGTTTTCCCTATTAACTTATGTGTAACTGATAACAAGGATAACAATAAATCTTTTCTTCGCATTACTCATATGTAAAGTCTGGCCGAATATTCTGGTTGTACGTTTGCTTATCGACTTAGATCATGTTCCAGAACATAAGTTTCGCATAACACCAATTTCTTTTTTTAATCTGGCCCTTTTGTATGCTGACTATTGGTTCATTGCCTTTCAGGTAGCATTCCAAATATTACGGCTCGACAATATGGTGGAAAAAAAAGTATGCAGCAATTGTTTAGCTTTACCTCAAACAATAATCAATTCAAATATATTAAATGCGACTGTCTGCCCATCCATACATCCATCCATTCATCCATCTATCCAACATCATTTCTGTATATCTGCCTGTTTGTTTTAGTACTCACATTTTTCAAGGAAGTACTGTCAGTGTATCTGTTGAAACCAAAAAGAATGCTGGCAGAGCTATCAAATCGTATAACACTGAACCTGGCTTGCCCAACAATGAACCGGTTGACAAACGTCGCTGCAAACTGAAGCTGTTTCTGGAAGTTTTCGCGCAGAACACTCCCTGACGAGTCCAGCACAAACAGGATGTCTGCCTTCTCATAGCAGGTGTCGGCTGGGCAGAGAGATCAGGCAAAATTAACAATGCCATAAATGAAAAGAGATAAGGAGAAGCCAACGTTATCCCTAAGGAAACGAGATAAGAAGAAGTCAACAATATCATAAAGGAAAAGAGATACGGAGAAGTCAACATTATCACAAAGGAAAAGAGATAAGGAAATGTCAACAATATCACAAAAGTAAAGAGATAATGAGAGGTCAACAATATCACAAGGGAAAAGAAATAGGAAGAAGTCAACAATATCAAAAGATAAAGAGATAGGGAGAAGTCAACATTATCATAAAGACAAAAAGATCAGGAGAAATCAACAATATGACAACGCAAATGAGATAATTAGAAGTCAACAATATAACAAAGGAAAAGATATATGGAGAAGTCAACAATTTCAATAAAAAAAGAGGTTAGCAGAAATCAACAATATCATACAGAAAATGAGATAGGGAGACATCAATAATATCATACAGGAAAATATTTAAGAAGTCATCAATATCACAAAGAAAAAGAGAAAATGGGGGTGGGGTGGGGGGGGGGGGGGGGTAACCAGTATCACAAAGAAAAAAAAAGAAAAATCAACAATGTCATATGAAAATAGAGATAAGAAGACTTCAACAATATCAAAAACGGAAGTCACTAATGTATCTTTACCTTGTGATAACCGGGGCGTGTGTGGGTGTGTGTGTGTGCATGAGTGTGTGCGTGGGGCTGGGGGATGTGCGTGCGTATAAGTGTGTGTGTGTGCGGGCGCAGAAGCGTGTTTGTGTAAGCGTGTATAGGTGTAGGTATGTGTGAGTGCATGTGTGTGTGTGTGTGTGTGTGGGCGCCTTGTGTGAGTGTATGTGTACACGTAAATGTATGTGTGAGTGTGTTTGAGTGTGTGCGTTTAATGCAAGTGTGTGCGTGGGCGTGTTTTATATGTGAGTGAATGTCTGCGTGTGCACTCGTATGTGAGTGTGCATACGCCTCTATCTATGTGTGTATGTGGCAGCACCAGTGTGTTTGTTTGGATGTGTATATATATATATATATATATATATATATATATATATATATATATAAATATATATATATGTGTGTGTGTGTGTGTGTGTGTGTGTTTGTGTGTGGTGTCTGTGTGCGCGCATATTTGTGTGTATGTATGTGTGTGTGTGGTTCCAGTGACCACAAAACGAGGGTCACCCGGTAACAGGTCTTAGAAACCTGGTTCAACCAGAGGGTTGTTATAATCAGGACCTTACGACATCAGCCGGGGTCAGGCTTCACGCACGAGGACAGTCTAAGTATCTGTAAAAGCTCTAGATCAAGAGAGTTGAGATGAAATATGTTAAAAACATACATCACAAAAAACTCAGTAATTTGTCATAATCTGTAACATCCTATTTTCAGTAGATTTGTTTAGAAAGCAACGGCAAACTACTGAACGTAAATCGTGCTTAGAAAAACAACAGCAAATAAGATGCTGATGTTAAGATTCCGAAACGCCATGCAACTAACAATAGTTCATAAAAAGCATGTGTCTATTTGTTTTCAAGAGTTCGCAACTATAGCAGGATAGTCCGCTAACTGCGAAGTCATGACCGAGGTCAGCTGGCCCACGTCAAGTATTTAGTGGTAAGAGGCCGAAGCATTTGTTGAAGGGAACATCTACTGATGATCGCTAGACTCCAGGTGTGAATCCTTTTACTGTGAAATACTTTGTTTCTTTGTTCTTCAAGACAGATGCTGTGTCTCACGTCCCCAACCCTGTGCACCAGTAGTGGTCATCCGTCGTCGACAGGCAGATCGTTAGGGGCAAAATAAGTAGTATAAATCATCGTGGTGACCTGTTCCTTCCCCTGTTTCTTTGCACCCTCATGTTAACAGAGCTTTTCACAGAAGTGGCGTGTCAGACATATGATACATTTATTAGTGATTAGTGATTATTAAAGATTATCGTCATAACACTTTGGACAAATCCATAGGTGCTCCGATCTCATCCTTAAAGCTCCACAAGTGTAAACTGACTGATGACGCCGGTTGTGTCTTGATTAATGAAACGTCTAGTCCCCTTTGTGAAAAAGTCATTTCTTGCAGCTCCAGGCTGCACCCCCACGTACACCAGCCCAGACATGGATATGATGCAGTCAAGTAAAGGATTTTTGTTTCACGCTCTCAAGCGCATTGGTCATAAAGGGCTAGACCTGTGTTTTAGAGACAAATGGCACTCGGTGGGTGATGTATTGAACAGCAAGCCGGCCGCATTTACCTCTAAGGACTTTACCTGGTACCCAGTTAAGGCTTGGTCCTACCTGTGATCCCAGATCAGTTTTAAACAAATTCCGGCTCGAACAGAACACGAACCCACGACCGTCGTACTCACAGAAGTGTCTCTAGTCGCTACGCACCTATTTATTAAAACTACTTAGCGCGCATTTACCTGACGCGTCTCTGGTGGAAAGCGTACCTACATAACTATGGGCATGCCTGGCGCCTTTACTTCACAGGAGTTTACATTGTAACATTGTATGTATTTTAAGAAGGGTCGACCTGAGACCCAATGTCAGATAGGAACAATCCGACAACAATGAGGATTCAAACCCAAGCCATTTAGACCCGCAGTCGAGTGCCTAGTCTTGAAAGTTCTCTTTTCAAATATGGGTTTAAACATTTTATATCGTTTCACATACAATGATTTATTTTTCAGCTGATAATAGCAACAGGGCTGAGGTGAGTCATGGACCTACATCTCAGCAATCTGGACATTCCTATACGCTATCTATCGTCTTCTTCAGCGGCTGGAAACAGTTTGAGTAGACGTTCTTCTTGAATTGCCTGTGCATGTAGAGTATGAGACAGATCTTATGGTCACTCCCCGCCGCAACATTGTCCACACACCCTAATTATCTATTGATGCTTTCGCACTGTCTTCTTGATCCAAAACGGCATTGATGACAACTAGCGTGTCATGTATCACGTTTTACCCACTGGTTTAGCACCATCAAATATATCTTTATATTCATTTTACAAAACACATGTATAACCTTGAGAAAATATCTACATGGCGCTGAGTACCGGGGACTTCTGGTGATGCGCTTACCACTTTGAAATGTACATTCCCTTCCCCACCATCGTCAGCATGTTTATGTGTTGGTTACAGTGCAGCTGGTTTCACTTTGAAATAGATGTTGTGGTTGCATATCCTAGGTTTTGTTGTACTAAGCAAAGTTCATTCGCTTTGACAGCGAATCATAATAAACGGTTCTTATGTTTTCTAGACCAGGCATGTTAAAATGGCAGCCCATGGGCCGCATGCGGCCCTTTGTACACGCAAGTGTGATCCTTGCAGAGGAAATATTCTGCAATAATTTGTATTAAATGATTCCGGTTAGTTGACGCGTGTGTTAGTCATATCGACACATTTTGAGCCGTAGAGCCCTCAGGGGATCCTCAGTTAGACATGCCTTTTCTAGACCGTGTTTTGCCTCAAAGTTTCAGATTGTGAACAGGCATCAGAGCCTTGGTTTCTGCAAGGCAGCTGCTGGAACTCACGGCCTCGGATACTGCATCTTCCCATTGCTTGCTTGCGAGGACCTCTAGATCATCATAGACCTTCATATCTACCTGATATGTCTATCTGTAGTGCACAGTCTCGATCCATTATCTCTTGAAGTATTTAACCAGTGGCTGCCTTCCAGCTTGTTTCCCTTTTCGTTATTTCTGATCCTGTTGTTTGTTATTATATTAACTAGTATTTTGTTTACATCAAATGACGACCGGCGTATATAAGCCTCAATCTAAAACAATACGGGGATGTGGCAGAGTGGCTAGACGCTCACCCCCCGGTATGTAGGTCTTCAGTTTGATACGCCTCAAGTGCAATGTAATGTGTTCGATAAAATTCATCTCCGCTTTCAGATCGATACAGCCTAGAAGTTTACCAGGCAATGTCCTAATCATGTAGCAGGTCCTTTGCTGAACGTCGCTCTCATCATGGTCTGCTTGAAATAAATTAGGTCTGTTATCATCTCACCCACCTCGTGTTTTCATATTCAAAGAGTGACTTATATCCTGTGCCCATCTTCGTGTTGGTCAACTGCTGCCTCTTCTTCCTGGTGTCATGTTTTCTGTTATTATTTTTTCCACCACTGCGCTTGATATGACCCGAATACTGCAGCTTTCAAATAAGGTACTGTTTATTAGCCAATCTTCCTTAATGTTTTTTTTTTTTTTTTTTTTTTTTTTTTTTTTTTTTTTTTAGTATTTCTCCTCTTCTTTGTCAATGGTATTCTGAGAATCTCTCTATAACATTGATGTTCATAAGCCTCTATTTTCTTTCTAAGGAGTAAGAGATAGTCCACCACTCACATCCGTATGTTGCCACGGGAAAGATGCATGCTCTTAAATTTTAATTTTGAAATCCTTGCTGATGCTCAACAATAGACTTTTAATAAATTAGCAATGTCCTTAAAAATTATAAAATTATAAATCTGACTGACCTATAAAAAATATGATTGTAGCATCACACACCTGATGCCCCGTTTCTATTATTAAAAACTGATCCTGTACCAGTACATTAAACATAGTTAATTTTTTTCCATCAAACTGATATCTTAAACTGCTATTAAAATACAACACCTTTTGTAATAAAAGTATTCAATGCAACTTACTCTGACAGAGAACTGCAGAAGACCAGTAAACAACAGCAAGAACCGCTACAGACAGAAGTCGCGTCATTTCTCTAGTTCTGTTGGAACAGCGTCTGGACATCCAGTAAATGAAAGTCCTTGGCCAAATCCCAAAGTTCAGCTTTTTATCGTGCTATGATAGGGAAGTTTGGTTGGTTGCTGTCATGGTGTGATAACATGCTCTCCGTAAAGACTGAAAATACTAGGCCCATATTGAACTAGGAAGACACCATTGTGCAGTTGTTGACATTCTGGCTGGCAGGCTTGGTAGCCGTGTTCGAATCCTTTTTTAAAAGGAGCTTTAGAAGAAGAAGAAAGGGAATCGTTGTGGTGTTGGCGGCTAGATGCCAGCCTGCGGATCGGAAGATCGTGGGTTCGCGTCCTGACGGAGCCTGAACTTTGTTGAAAATTACCTTGTCTCCCAGGTTGACCCAGCCTTGAGTGGGTACCAGGTGCAGTCCTGGGAAGTAAAGGCTGACCACATCACCCAAAAAGGGCCGATTGGTCTATACAAATATTGGCTATGATTAATATGAATGTTCCGAACACAATAGACAACATTAGACTGGAAAAACGTAAAGGCCAATTACAGTTTTAGATCCCAATTCCTAGCCCAGTTTATTACTTGCTCCACTTACATTTTAAGAAAAAAAGGGGGGGGGGGAGGGGCGCTTGTGGTGTTTGCAATAGCCGTCTCAACTGCGTAATCATCGATGAGCATTGGTTCTATATAGCTCTCTTCCGGGCAGGCTGTTCAAGCAGTTGGCGACTTGCACTAATTAATAATCTCAGCTAAGAAAATCATAAAGATCGTGGCTTGTTGGACTACGCCGAGATACACGTGATCCTCTGCCATCTGCAAATAAAGTCCAACATGTGTCCGGTAAACCAATCGTAAGCTTGTCGCTCGGTCGTCCAGGCACGCTGACTGTTCTAATTAGGCTGCCGCGACGACTTCTTATCTCACAGTACCTTCTGCAAACCACTAAGTCGTCTTGTCTCTAACCGAAAGAAAAACACCATCCGGTAATTTCGTGCAGCAGGGAACCAGCCCTGAGCTTCATGAACTCAGGTGGGCCCACCTCCGAAAGCGTCTAGGAATCGTGGGCCGAAACGCTCGTTGACGAGGATAATTTCTACTGAAGACTGGTAGATCCCTGCTGTACTTGCTCCCTGTGAGTTTATTCCTATCTGTTCTTCTGACTAAACAGCTAAACAGTCCTTTTAGCTGAAGATGCTGTCAACCTGTTGGCACTGAAAGTCTCTTGTTTAAAAATACATTTCGTAACTACTGATGGTTGAAGTTTCAACTCAGGCCATCGTTCAGTCAGTGTCGAAGTATGGAAATGATAAAACAAAACTAAAATAGAACATATTCATTAATGAGACGGATGAATCTGATTAGTTATAACACAATTTCTCTGCTCATTTCAAAAAATGAGCAATCATTGTGATTTTTGTCCACTACTCTACATTGGTTAGTTGTTGCGTATCCTTTACAGGACGTTGCAGAACCAACCCCAGCAGCTCCTGATTGTTGTGTGGTTACTCTACGCAAATTGACGTCCAGTAGTTTGCCATTGCCTACTGGACGGTCGGCCCACTGATACCACTGTCGAAACCAACGCCATGTGCATGGCCCGCAGCTGGGATCGAACCCGGCATTACGACGCGTTCACATCGACTTAGCCACAGACGTCGACACTCTACATCGAAAAAAGCACCAAAAAAAGTTTATCAAAAGCTCTCTCTCTCTCTCTCTCTCTCTCTCTCTCTCTCTCTCTCTCTCTCTCTCGCTCTTTCTCTCTCTCTCTCTCTCTCTCTCTCTCTCTCTCTCTCTCTCTCTCTCTCTCTCGTTCATTCAATGCGTTCCAGTCATACCTAGAGCTGTCACCCTCCCCCATTCCCCGGAGAATCCCGGCGATCCCCCTCCCCAATATGGCGCTGCCACCTCCCCTTGGACCATCCATGCCGCCGAATGTGTGCGTACGTTTGTTTGAGCGAGTGTGTGTATATGGAAGTGAGTGTGTAGTTGACTGTGCGTATGTGTGTGCTTGTGTATCTAGGTGTGGCAGCTTTTGTGTCATTTATATATGTGTATACACACGCACATGCACACACACACACAGACACACACACACACACACCTGTTTGCTTTCGTAATGCCGGGGTGCTGAGTTCGACCCCAGCTGCGAGCGGTTTGGCCTGCGCTGGTTTCAATAGAGATGCTGAGAGATGAGAATTCAGAAAGAAATGGCAAACTTTGCCTAGAAAAACCACAACAGCTAAAAAATGCTCGGGTTGATTCTGCAACGTCCTGTGAAGGATTCGCAACTATATACATATATATTATTTATATTGTAATAGTAGTGTTGAAATAAGCGTTTGAGAAAGATGCAGTTATAAATTTAAAACGACACAATTGTTCTTTATGACCTCTGTGTTTTTAGGTAATCTTCGATATATCAACACTAATGCAGCAAGCCTTATGACAAAGCTGACAGTTAACAAACACATGCGATAACAAAACACTACAGTTGTCTGTTTGACAGCGTATCTTGTTTTCAACATAAGATAACTCA